TCCTCGCTCGCGCGCTGCATTACAATAATTCCTAACCAGCAGCACCGCACTGCTCTTGCACGATAACAATAAACGGTTTGTCGGGCCTATCCGGCGATTTACATTCAGAGCGAGCGGTCGAGGGCGGCCCCTCGCTCTTTCTTCTTTCAAATTGGATTTAAACATTGCGAATTACCTTTCTTTGATTCGTGGGCTAGCCAAATGGGGACGATTTATGGAGTAGCGGAGTAGGTTTTGGCGCGGTCCCCGGGGACGCCCGGGTAGATTATTCGCGCGAGCGGCAGCGGCCGGCGACGGAACGGGCCGTATTTCACGCGGCCAGCGATTTAGTGCGCGGGGGCAGTGAGCGATGGCCCTCCGGCCCCGGGTCCACGCTGCGCCCGCCGCGGCCACCTGACCCCACTTTAAATAGTGACCATCCTGTATGCGTCGTTTATTTCCCTGTCGGTTTAATACGATGCCACATTTTACGCTGACCGAAAGTGCAACTCGCCTCGCGTCGCCTTCGCTCCCACTTTACCTGTAATTCATTATTTATATATTCCTCCGAGACCCGCAATTCCAATGTATCTATTTATATTTGCAACGCTTGCTGCATAATCAATTTTAAGTGATACGACTTAATATTATCTCTGTAAAATATTATATTAGAGAACCTTTACATAAGTAAATAATCTTTAAAATACCTTATTCTATCTATAGGAGAGATGTTTGCTAGATTAGATGGAATATATAAAGTGAAACCGCCATAAACTAATTTCCATCCAGACTATCTGGATGAGTGACAATTTTTCCAGATATTTCCACTTACGACTGCACTATAGAGCCAACCCCCAACAGCAGTGTTTCTGAACAGACACGATAGTAAAATCTAAAAAGTCCGGCAACGCATGTGTAAATTTCTCCGGTGTTGCGAGTGCTCATGGGCGGCGGTAGTCTTACCATCAAGTAGCTCACTCATGCGTGTTCATTTCCCCCTGTATAGTAAAAAAAACGAAATCCTGTATTCATGAAATCAAGGAAAATGGAGCGGCATATGGGAAAAAATGTTTGAACCCTCCATACAAATCGTGCGATATGTCATCAATTCTTATGAATGATTCATAATATGCATGCCTGGCTGAGGCGATTGATATCAAGTGATTGTAACATGTCAGGTCAACACCTGACAGTAATGGAATGAAAAATACCTTAGCGAGTTAGTTGCCAGATGTTGTTTTGACTTTTTTGTATTCGCTGAATAATACACGAGGGAATAATTGTTTTGTTACTGTATAGTAAATAAATTAAACAACATGTATATCAATTGCAAACCAATCAATCAGCAATTAGTAGAATAATTAAAATCGAAATTAAATGATATATCACGTAACTTATGTACAAATGTAATCGATATATTTTAAAAATCAAATCTTTTCCCCAAGTTTTTCATATTGATGGCATTATACTGTATATACTTATACTGTGGTGTGTCAGAGAAACTTGGAAATTGAGTAAAAAATATAGTCGTACTAGCAGAGCCGGTTAGACGCTGCTGTGGCTACCTCACACCGCCGCAGTTAGATATTTATACAACTCACAAATAAACAAATAATTTGCAATAACAATATAATGAGACTATAAATTTAGATAAGATAATCTCTCAATTTGAACCGCACACAATTGTACAAAATCTCATTAAAATAGGTTTAGTAATTTAGGAGTTCATACCGTACAAACGTGACAGGGAATTTTTATATATAACTAGCGACCGGCCCCGGCTTCGCACGGGTGCACATTACATCACTTCACATCATGTTGGAAACCCCTAAAATTATCAACGTTTCTCTATTATATTATGCGTGTATTATACATATAAACCTTCCTCTTGAATCACTCTATTTACTAAAAATACCGCATCAAAATCTGTGGCGTAGTTTTAAAGAACTAAATATAAATATGGACAGACAGACGAGACGTGACTTTGTTTTATACTATGTAGTGAAGATTTAGAATCTCCTCTATACCAAACTATGTTGTATAAATATTTAACCTTATTACCTATCTAACTTGTTATCTTAACTCGATAATAAATATACTACATTACTTCACTAGACCGTTCTAGGTCTGACATTCTTTGTGTTGAAGAATTCCCAAATTGGTTTTTGACGACTAGCAACATCGTGCGCCATAAAATATGTGGCAGCCTGAGCCGGTAAACGATGTTACGTACTAATCCTATGCATATAGATACGCTTGTTAATTAAACTAGTTACGTTAACATATTTATTCTTCTACTCGCTCCGTCGGTTTGGATGTGTTCCAATACAGAACAAATGACGTATTCGTACATACATTTGCCTAGTCACATTTAGGTAACGCTGGAATATTCATAATATTATTTTATGCTAGGAATATCTCCAAAGATTATATCTTACTTATTTATATGTTTACCTTTATTTAACTATTTTTGTAATTTTTTTTATTTATTTATACAACTTAGAATGGCAAACAAGTTGGCGGCCCATCTGATAGAAAGTGGTAACTGTCGCTTATAGACTTGAGCAGTACCGTAGACATAACAGAGTGTACCGTTTCGCCCATGATACCCCCCATGCGTTGCTATTCCTGAGGACTCAGGTGTTATTCCTCTGTACCTTGAAAAGATGACGATTTAAAAGAGTTTGTAAACAAGTGTATTAGAAAAAAGAATATTTAAATTTGAATTTGGAAATTTTAATCCAATTAGTTAATTGAGTACTAATGAATTGCTAATTTGGAACAAATATTGACATGGATTAATAAATGTCTGTTGATATAGAAGTAGCTACGTAAATTTCATGTGAGTAGCGCAATCAAAGGTCGAGGACCAAGTACACACATCGGATGTTCTCAAAACCTCACCTCGCATGTGGGACACGGCGATAGTTTGTAGAGAAAATGACAGGTACCGAGTGACCACAGCTTCCGAAGGTCATTCCGCCCACTACGCGGACACCGGACCGCGAAAATAAAAAATATTTACAATAATTGTTTCGGACCGATTTTCGAACGAGCCGAGTTAACGAAACAATGTTGACAGCTGTGAGCGTCGTAAGATCGGTTTTGGCGGTCCTACATGTCAACAGTCCACGTGCGGACGTAGTGGCCATTGGCTATACTGATTGAATGTCTTCATAAGGAGCCCACGTGTTCTATTGTTGTGAAGTTTCGCGAACAGAGGCCATAACTCAACGACCTTCATTCAGAAGTTGGGAAATGAATGCGGTCGTGCGGGTAATTGATGGGAGAGCTGATTACATACATCAAATTCTTTTTTAGTTAACATGAATGGAAACGATATATATTTTTTTGTTATATTATTATTATGTTTATCATTCTGAATCTGTTTAAATTTCACATCTTTAATACAAATCATACATACTTCTCATCACCATATCAGCCTTTAACTGTCCACTGCTGAACATAAGCCTCCCCCTTGGGAGGTTTTGCCAGTAGTTGTCATGCTTGGCAGGCGGATAGGCAGCCGCAGTAGACTTTAGAGATGTTTTACACTGTTGCCCATTCCTCGCCCTCACATAATCGGCTCTTACTACATCCACAAAAAAGGAAGGGGTGGCCTATTCTATGCCGGGACCAAACGGCCGATATATACCATATACATATTTTCCTATATGTAAAAATAAAGTTATTTTTTCTCTTATTCGCGTAACGGTGTCGCTCTCTAGTGTCAATACATGAATAGTATTGATTTATTTACAAGAAATAAGGGTGTACGTAATAATTTGCAAGCTGAAGTGTCAATGGGCTGGCCACATAGCTCGAAGAACCGACAACCGATAGGGAAAAAAGGCTCTTGAGTGACGACCGCGTACGGGTAAACGCAGTGTTGGACGACCCTACCCCCTCACTTGACGGAGTGACGACCTGATATGCATTGCAGGGCGTCAGTGGATGCAGGTGGCTCAGGACCGTTCTTTATGGCAGTCTATGGGGAGGATTATGTCCAGCAGTGGACGGGTAATGGCTGAAATGATGACGATGATGAATAATTTAGAAATAGTTGTAGCCACATACAGTTTTATACTTCGGGGACAATTATTTGATGGACTGCAACTGCATCTAAAACATGTCCACTTGAAATGTCAGTTCAGTTAATTGTACGCAATCATATGTGCAGGGGGGAAAGGGATTGTTAGTAATGGAGACTGAGAATCCCATTGCTAGCAATATACCCAACCAGGTCGACCTCCTCGCGTTTCCACCTGGAAACTATCATAGTTTGAATTCATCATGATGGGCTAACTGGCCTGTTTTCATTCTCATCTATCACCCTTCACTGGTGCTCCGCCAGCGTATCCCGTTAGCGCAGGCGGGATTACCATATCATTTTCACACATAAAAAAAATCATACGTGCATTTTATTTGTAATTTTCACTATTTTCATTATGTTTCATAAAGAAAATAATGAAAATCTTAAGATACGTTTATTTTACCGAACGCAGTCAGTGAGTGCCTCACAAACGACTATGTAGGAAAGTGGAAAACTTAAAATTTTTTTGTTGGATATCAAAAATCATTTATAGTTATTCTTACATAATGTGATTACAACTTAGTATTTGTTTTTTATATTCTGTTTCATTGTTTTACTTCAGCTTTCGATGATCTCATTGTTATCGTAAACCATTTAACGTTAATCCTATCTATATTTTTTTTTATTGTCATTTCCTTCATACGGTTGTTATTTATTTTCTTTAAATGTGATTACAGACAAAATATTACTTATTAGTATTAATAATATAGATTACATATAAATAAATAGCATATATCGATTGTAGGTACTATGTTATTGTAGATATATTAATTTGTTTGATTATCGCACAGCTCTGTAGGACCTATTGTTGAGCAATGCAGCACGACGGCGGGACGCGGCCCAACGTGATTTTAACGATACGCCGAAACATTCCGCCGTCTTGTAATTAACTCTTATCTCTAATTACATTATAATATTGTTGTTGCAGTGTCCGGCCGCGGTGACGTCAGCAGCTTCTTCAACACGCAGATGGTGCTCGACCTTAACGGTGAGTACATACGACCTATAATCGATTGCGGGACGCCTCATTTGAATATTACGGAAGACGCGAGTGGAATACCCGAATTATCTAATTATGTTTTTGTGTGTCAGCGCGCGGGCGGCGACCGGCCGGCCGACTGTCGTGCGATGCGCGCTCTCTATCGACCGCCATGTTCCATTCACGCGATATTCACGTCAAAAATAACCACTCAGGGTGATTTATAATAACACCCCATATGATTAACATTTGCAACACGTCTAACTGATAATTTTGTGTGGGAATTCACAATAGACCCGATTCTGTTTTCAAATTCGCTTACTTATCATATAAGGAGAAGTTTATATCATTTTAGTATTAATTTTTTTTATGCAACTTAAAATGGCAAACAAATGGAAAGTGGCAACCGTCGCCTATAGAAATGAGCATAACAATATACTGTTTTACCCATGATACCCCCCATGCGCTTCCATTCCTGACGACTCAGGTGTTATTCCTCTGTACCCTGTAAATTCACTGCCATATGCCCACCCTTCATACCGAAACACAGCCATGCAAACACAACTGCTTCATGGTAGAAACACGAATAGAACAGAGATGCCCAAGCAAACGACTTTTGTACAAAGTGTCCCTCCCTAATTCTTTTTAATAAATGATTTATTAGTGATGGTGAACTTTTCAACCGGCTTCAAAAGGAAGGAAGTTATATTTTGTTATATAATTTTTTAATATTTATTTATACCTCATAATTCCATTAGTTCTAAATCAAATTGGGAAATTATTTTTTTATCTATAAGAATATACTTTCAGATTGGTCGTGTAGAAATTTTATCAAAATTTGTTTAGTAGTTCAGATTTTAGATCAAAATAACTGCTTCTGTCACAATTGAAGTCGGTTTTTTTTTCGGGCCACAATATTTATTTATTTTTTTAATTCTCACAACGATACATGATTTAAAACGGCACTCCGGCTGTTAATTTTGTATTAGTATTGATTTTGTTTTTCGTCCCTTAATTTTTATAACAAAAATGTTTTCAGATAAAACAGTCTCTTACAAATATGGATATAGTTTCACCTTGTATTAAAGAATTAAGTTAAATTACAAAATTTGTAAAAAGGACTCATTGATGGATTAGGCCGTCTTAAGCAATCCTATATCGTAAATTCTAGTGGAAAAATTTCAAATACTAGTCATTGAAATGAACATTTATCACGTGCACATTGATTTGTTTTCGAGCTAGGTCCTTATAAGTTTACACGATAGACAGGGAACATAATTAGATCAGTACAAATCTTATTTTTTTTTATACAACTTAGAATGGCAAACGGCCTACCTGATGGAAAATGATAACAGTCGCCTATATGATCAACACCATGAGCAAGTACCATGGACATAACAGAGTATACTGTTTCGCCCATGATACTCCCCATGCATTATACCTATGATACCCCCCATATTTATTATAATCGTTTAAAGGCATTACATGAATGATTTGGTCGTCGGCGCAGTAACGGCGTTGACACTGCATCAAATGGAGCACGATTCCTTTACCATTAATCGGACGGGCAGCGTGTCGCGCGAGGCGCGGCGGAGCGAGCGGCCGCCATCCACCGCCCGCGGTCACACTCCGAAACAAAACAACCGAATAATTAAATTAATACAAATTTACAGCTGAGTTGAGTTTTTGTACATCCGTGCACACCGTGGACACCGAGACATTTCCAATTTTCGTCTAGGTCCGTTTTTTATTCGCGTTAATTATGGGATGAATGGACCGGTCGGGGAAAAAACGCGGCGACGGACGACGCTCGGCGCAGGCGCTGCGGGCGCGCCGGTTTTTGTGGCGCGCGTGTTTCACGGAACTCAGCGGCGCACCACCGCTCGCCACCGCTTTACGTACTATCGTATCGCTCCGCTACAACTGTCTCTTGGATCCATTGAACCATCAAAATCTTACTCCGTTTTGCATAATTATCTTACACACTCCTTAACTCCTCTCTAACTTCTAACTTTCCCTTAATTGGAGTGAACCTGTGGTTGCATGGCGAAGCGTATCTTTACAAAAAAGCCTCATTCTACACTAATCAAATGAATTCAAAATTATTTTTGAAAGTTCTCAATTCTGTTGTTGTTTTTTTTTTCATGTTTCCGTCACTTGTGAATTGATTTGGAAAATTCTTTTTTCATCTAAAAGGATATAGTTACAGTTTGTTCCTATAGAAATTTTATTAAAATCTGTTTAGTATTTTTTTGCCAAAATTAAAGTAGTTTTTTTTTTTAATGGAAACACGATTGCTGAAAGGAGTGAACATGTCAAAATATTATTTTTGTGGTACAAATTTCAATGGGTCCAGTGTGCCCGAGCCCTGCGTGCGCGTGATAAATAATCCGATCGACGACGAACCCATTGACTACGGTTTATTCAAATCATCGCCGACTAAAAAACCCGTGGCCCAAATATTACGGATGTTACCCACCGGACCGCGGCGGTCGGTCACTCGCCGCCCGCCTTATTGTCGTGCATATTTACCAGATCGCTTTTAATCTGAACGATTACTTCGGTTTATTATTTGGCGCGATTCGATTACGCCACGACTCGTATTCGATACGGTCTTATTAGATTCAAGCTGCAGTTTATATTTTAGAATAACTGAACGTCACTCAATAACGAAAACAATATTTTCCAGACTTTGTACAAAAGTCGTTTGCTTGGGCATCTCTGTCCTATTCGGGTTTCTACCGTGAAGCAGTTGTATGGCTGTGTTTCGGTTTGAAGGGTTGTATATGGCGTGAATTTACAGCGTATAGAGGAATAACACCTGAGTCCTTAGGAATGGCAACGCATGGGGGGTATCATGAGCGAAACGGTACACTCTATTATGTTTATAGTACTGCTCACATTTATAGGCGACGATTACCACTTTTCATCAGGTGGGTCGTCAGTTTGTTTGCCATTATAAATTACATAAAACAAAAATTCTTTATAGTGCAGTGATCACGAGGAAGGTTAATTTTGGTGAATAGATCCGATGCTAATTGGCTGTCAGTGACGTAGAGATTTGCTAGTCTTTGTGTGTTCAATGGAAAATATTGTGAATAATATTATAAACCCATACGAATTATTAAATGTGACGATAAAAAAAAACTCTTCGTCATAACAATTTTCTCTTAAAATATTTCAGTGCTGATCGATAGACGAATCCGGAATTATCGGTGTTATTATACAACAATTTGAATTAAATTATCAACATCGTTATCATCATATCAGGCTTTAACTCTCCACTGATGAACATAAGCCATCCCTATGGGGGGGGGGGGGGGGGGTTGCCAGTAGTTGCCACGCTTGACAGGCGGATTGCCACCCACAGTTAGACTTTGGATATGTTTTAAGAGGGACGCTGCTCCCTCCCTAAGTCGCCTCTTACAACATTCACGGGAAAGGAAGGGGTGGCCTATTCTATATCGGAATCACACAGTGAAAATTATCATAATTTTACATAATTATAAATTACATGTTTGTTCAGAGATGGTATTAGTTGATCACCTAATACAGCCGTGCAGTGTAGTGGCGCGACAATTGTTCCGCACGCGCGCTCGTTTCAAAACACTAGGACATTCGCCAGTCGCACACCGCACCGCTACGGACGGTCACCAACTCGCGGCTAGACGTGACTGACTGACTCCATTGACCACCAGTAGTCAACCGCCCATACATTGTGTAATGTAATTTGTACTCTATTTGGTTGCTGTATTCAGGGTGAAATCTAAATTTATTGACATTATTTTTTATAATCTCAATACACTTTGTGCAATGAACCTGTTCTTGTTTTTTCTTCTTTCATTTTTTCCCATTTACATAAATCTATTAATTAGTAATAATGCCTATAAACATCACTTTAATTATTAGTAATAATAATATGCATTTTTACAATGTCGATACTTTGGATTATATAGATAGATACCAGAGGGAGACTTTGTACAAAAGTCGTTTGCTTGGGGTACCTCTGTCCCATTTATGTTTCTACCGTGAAGCAGTTGTGTTTGCATGGTTGTGTTTCGGTTTGAAGGGTAGAATATGGCAGTGAATTTACAGGGTATAGAGGAATAACACCTGAGTCCTCAGGAATGGCAACACATAGGAGGTATGATTGGCGAGACAGTAAACTCTGTTATGTCCATGGTACTGCTCATGTCTATAGGCGACGGTTACCACTTTCCATCAGGTGAGCCGTCAGCTTGTTTGTCATTCTACTCGTAAATTGTATAAAAAAAAGTGCCTCCATACAAAATGTTTCCCCAAGAACGGGTCACTTTTATTATCCATGTACATTAATAAGTTTACCATAATGCTCAGTATATGGCAGAAATTTATAATATAAAGTTAAATTAAATAATTAAAAACAATATAAAATTTTTACAAATATATTTGAAAGAACAAAATAAACAGTGCGTAATGATTCCTAGTGACGCTTATCTTTACTGAATACTTTATGTATGGCTGAGTATACACACATGTCTTCGTTCTTAAATAATTGACAGTGGCCACCATTTTAATTAATACACATATATTTTAATGTATAATTAACACTTCCATTTGTATATTTATATTATATCAGAAAAATCAGTCCCAATTCTAATATAAAAATAAGGGAGATTTTTAATCTAGTTACACGGAACACGCAATAGAAGTGCATTTTGTTTTGGTTTACAAAGAAAGTGTCAGCCAATTTAACGTTTCCAACTAAAAGTTTGATACATTGATGCTCTACCTATATAATGTAAAACTACAAGCTATAACACTAAATGCGAAAAAGCCTGTAATATTTTTTTAGATAAATTATTTATTGCATCCTATTATAATATACTTAATTGTGAATATAGAGATAAAACAAACTGTTTATTTTGAGAAAATGCATTTAATCCAACGGATAATATATTTATAAAATGTGAGTAAAACGATCACCGTGACCATTCAATATGGATTCAATTAGAATTTTAACTAGATAC